GAGCTAAATAAGATCAAATCTGCTGACTTGTGTTGTGAAATGAGACGTTTTCCTGTTTATCTTCTGTTAATAAACCTATAACACAAACAGCTTTTCTGGCATTATTTAAAACATTAGATCGATTATATAAACTGTAAAATAATAATAATAATTAGATTAATATTATTGTTATTAGTTTTTATGATTTCTACATCGTCAGTCCTTTTTTCCTGCTCTGTTGCCAACATGTACAGTGATGGGAAATCTTTAGCMTTAGCCGTTAGCTTCACCAGCCGATCACACGGTCACGTGGTTTCTGCGCACTCCAGCTGTTCTATAGAAACTCCTTGATCACCACCCAGACCTCACAAACTAGTGCTCATTTGTGTACGTTAGCCCCAACACACATCTGATGAATCTGCAGGGGGCTGGAGTCGTCGTCCATGTTGCAGCACCAGCAGCAGTAAATCTCAGCGACACAGCAGATTAGATTGTGGGCTCTCAAAGGTTGTATTCATAAATCTTTCCAGAAACCAAAAGGAGAACATTCCTTCAAATGTTTCACAAAAACAAATAAATAAACACTACACAATGRTTCGTAGTTTCTCCTTTCAACATAATCACTAATGTCATAATTATCCTCGAATGAAAAACTGCTGGAACAGTGCTGACAGCTAACCATGAACAAACTTACAGGGACAAAAAAACACACTTCAAACAAGATTAACATTTTAAATATTTGATTTGGTAAGAAATATACAATAATGCAATTACTGTGTTTCTGAGCTTTAACAATGATTCCTCTGGTCTTTTATTGTCCTGTTAAGTGTCAGGGTAAATACAGCCTCATTTTCAGGTAAGTGAAATATATTTTCACAATACACCACATCCATCAGTTCTCTAACCGTGATAAAAGGCATGCAGAGACATGAAGCATGTGTCAAAGATTTGCTAAAACGTCCGTTTGGCAAATGTGTAATTTACCTGGGTTGTGAGGGTGGAGATTTCAATAACCGTGACCGAGTTCCCGCAGCTTGCCCACACCGATTCATCCAGTACCAGCAAAATACTGACAGGTTCTGATCCCAGGCTGACACATCTGCAGGAGTCAGGGTCCCAAAGATCATCTGTAAAAGCAGAAAATAGATTCAAAGTAGTTTTACATCACACTGATGAAATAAATAAAAAGGTTTAATCGCTCACAAAGAACTGTAACAGAGAACATGGTCACCTGTCACACTGACTGGGACAAAAACATTCCCTTCTACGTGTGTGYCGGGTCTTATGTATTTTKCAGACACATATTTCAGTTCTTTACCACAATCAAGTAACTATGTTACCTTCAGTTGTTATAGGATCACTGTATATATCAAAAATAAATCTGACTTTGCATCATTGGAACTGACCTCTATCTCTTTAAAACAGTCTTTGTTCCACTGGTGGGCAAAAACGGCGCAGTTCCTGCTTTTAAACGTTTCTGGACTTTTCAGACGCTGCCGGGGAATTTCTTTGTAACTATTGTTGAAAACCAGGGCGTCAAATGTCTTTCTCTGGTTCTTACCTTTTCACTTTGACACCCTTACAAAAAAGTAAAAATAAAAATATCAAAGGGCTTTTAAAAAATAACTTACCCCAAAATTAACTTTTTTAGCTGATAAACTGTCTAGAATGTGTCTAAAATGTTATATAGTACTGTTTCTGT